AATTGCCTACAGATGGGCTTTGGGTCTCCAATCTTCACTCCCCCTCATTCACAATGATATGATTTTTTGTTTGGGGTCTTTGATGCCTGATACCTGATCCTATTGACACCTGGTGATCACACAGGATGGTGTGTTTCTTCCACGTGGGCTTTGTTGCTTCTCAGCTAGATGGATGCCTACAACAAGCATTTACTATCACTCTGTGCTGTTGAGGTGATTCGAACTCACGGTGCCCCTACAGGACAGAGTACACCTGGCCCCTGGGTTTCCTCGGCTGTACTTTTCATGAGAGCTGATTGCCAGACCCTCTCTCCCGGGGAGCGAAACTGCTGGGTTCAACCCTCTGAGCTGTCAGTTACTAGCTGAGGGCTGAACTCCTGTGCCGCCCGAGCTCCTTTCTCATAATGCTGTGGGTTATCTGCTGGTTCTTTCAGCGCTCGTGTGATGTGGCTGGCCTCTCTGGTCATCAGGAAGCTGGGCTGGGGCTGGCTACTCTAGGCTCTCTCGGGATGGGATGGTGCTTGGCTCTGTCCACTCGGCTAGGTCAGGTTCTTCACCCGGAGATCACAGGGCTCCAAACGTGGCGAGAGAAAGCACGTTTCAATACTCAGCACTTGGCAAAGCGGTGCGGTGCTGCCTTTGTGGCTGTTCCACGGCAGAGCAGTTGGAGCAGTGAGAGCATGAGCAAATGCCGCTTCTCCGCTTCCCAGTGGGTTGATCGTTCCCAAACAGTCTGTGGTCAGTTCTGCCCCCTCTGCTCAGCTTCTGTCCTGATACCAGCTGCACACGCAACACCTCTTCCTCTGGCCCAGTGCGAGGTCAGGGCACACACAGTCCTCCAGACTGCCGAGCCTGCTCAAGACATTAGCTGCCAGCTACAGCCTCGGGTCCCATAACACCTCACTTCTGGCCTGCAGGCTACACACCTGGGCTTTCTGTACCCTCAGCATATCAGCCATAAATGCAGGGCTTTCATGTCTAACTTGCCCACTACTCTCCGGGGTTCCATAATTCACTGAGTCGATCAGCGGGCTCATGGAAATTGCTTGATCAAAGCAAAAAGGAGACAAATGAAGAGCACACAGAACAAGGCCCCGGAGGCGACCAACATGCCATTCCCATCTCTCGGAAAGGGATGTGCTGCCCTCCCACCTGCATTGACGCCAATCTCCGGTCAGGAAGACCAGGGAGCTGTCGTGTCCAGAGCGTTCCCTGGGGCCTCATGACACTGGCCTGAGTGACTGGCCCCTGCCCTCCTCCCCGAGCCTGGCTGCTGTCCCAGAGTGCAGTTTCCTGGCACCAAGTGTCACCTTGTTACCATAATCTGCCAGGTCTAGATCCCAGTTAAAGAAGAAAGGGGCTTCGACCTCTGGGGAAATTGCCAGGCTTTAAAGGCTGCCTCTCAGAAATGGAGGCCAAAGACCAAAGTCTTGGGGCCAAGTTAAATTCTTTACTCCACATGTCCAGTGCAGTTACAAGAAATAGAAAGGGAAATTCAACCTCTTTGTGGAAGGCATGGCAAACCCCATAGATGTATAGTGTAGATATGTTTACGAGCCTGACCCACAGCAGGATGGGGGATCTGGGCCTTGACGTGACTCTGAGAAAACCACAAGGTTACAACACCCAAAGAATCCAGGTTCCCAGCACATCCCAGACACTCCAAACGGGACTGGCGCACTCGGCACCTCCCATTCATACCTGACACACTGGGAAAAACACCCCCCACGCATCCATTCCTGCTTTGAAGGCCCTGCCCACCCTCCCTGTCATCTGATGGCAGTTTCTCCACAAGCGAAGGTGACCGGTGCCGAGCCACATTTAAATCAGCCAACCGACTCCACTTCTTGCTCCCAAAGAGTTTGCAAAGTGCTTTTTGCCAAGCGCCTGACAACTTACAGCCTGTCACGGAGCCCTGGACGCCTCCACCGGGCTGGGGCTCATTAGTGAGCAGCTCGGGAAAGGCAGTGCCCCCGCTGGCCAATGCCGAGGGCTGTTTTGCTCTCTGGGCCAGTTGAGAGGCTACGCAGAGCACTGGGACGAGGAGGAGCGCTGCCTCCCTCCAGGCTGGCTTCCCTGGGCCCAGTGCCTCTCCACGACCATGCTCAGGGGACCTCATTGCACCTACGCTTCTGCCAGGGCATACACTCAGCAGGGCCCCCTTGGAGGATCAAGGGTTATCAGAGACGGCGCACCCATTGTTCCTATTGCTCTTTGGTGCTTCCACTCACACCAGATGGATAACCCCACTAGCATGTTGTCATGTCTCCAGTTGGCATGTCCCCAGTGGCATGGAGGAGGCAAAGATGGAAGGATGGGGGTGAGGCCATCCGGTTTGTTCAACCCCCGTAGTATGCAAATGAGCCAATGGGCACTCGGGCTGGACTTATGAATTAGGTTCCCATCTGCTGGGGAAGAGCCCCCTTTTTTTGCCTTTCCGCTAGGCTTTACTAGGACCACTGAGAGTCACTCTGGATAGAAAAGCTCAGAAGGAAGACTTGAGTGTTTGGAATGATTTTCAGTTAATCCGGTGATGAATGTAGTGCTGGCCTTCAGTGCTCAACTGAGGCAATGATCCTGAGCAGAACTCTGTGTGCGCTTTCCTGATCAGTACACGATACTGGGAGTGTCTTTATTTCACCCCTAGCCCCATAGGTCCTCACCTGGTGCCCTAAGATGTGAGAGGGAGGAACACCCCTCAAACTCAGAAGAGCGAGGCCAAACCCCCAGGATGTGAATCGACTTCTCTCCACGGGAGGGAAAGAGAGGTCCGAGGGCACGTGGAATCACGTTCAGCATCATCACTCATGAGGGAACTGGACATCAACACTGGAAGCGAGCTATCACTTCACTTTGGCTGCTGCCAGAGAGGTCGGTGGTTCCACACCGCCCAGGGGCTCTGTGAGCGAGAGACCTGCCCAGTCTCCTTCCCAGACAAAAACCCAGACAAAGAACATTGTCCTTCTCCTGGAAACAGGCCCAAGGCGTTGCCTCTTTGGTTCTCCAAGAACGAGCTCTCTCTGGACCACAACTTCGGAGGCACATGTGGGGAGCCATGTTTCTGCCAGCGGCCATTTGTTTACTTATAACACCATTCACCAGCCACCAAGACGATCAACTCAAAATTAG